GTGCATCGCTCTCGGGATCTACAAGAGAAGCTGCCTTTGCTGGGAACACGTGAATTTCTCTGCCCGCCGGACCCTTTCACTGTGTACAACTCTTTCGTAAGAACCACGTTCAGCACCGATTTCCTCCTGTCATAAAAGCCAGGATACTTTCCAGCCCCGGTTCCAATTTCAAAAACACGAAATTCATCAGTGTCTGAAAAATGACAACCTGAAACACTTAATTGCTTGCGCGAGAATACCGAACAGGAATATTTTTCAAATGCTATCAGAATTGATAAAAAATTTTGCGTCCCTCGATGCAAAGTTGAACGGGAATATTTTTTAAACGAACTTGTATCCACTATCGTCGGTGATAGAGAGTATGAAAGGAAGAAGGAGGAAGGAAGGGTCAGAGAGAGAAAGAAAGAACCATTCATCGGAGAGGTCACGAGGAGTCCCATTCATGCAAAGCGCGTTGGCCCCGCATCACGAGGAAGAATAATCGTGGTACATGCGAGGTTTAGCAGAAGACCTGGAGAAGAGAATAACACTCGTGCGGTTCCGAAACGTGTCAGGAAACAAGAGTCATCGAGGAATGAAAACGATTCGTCATGCGGATCTCGTTTCAATATCGTCGAAAGGAACGTTTTATTCCCGCATATTTAATCCTCTTCCCTGGGAGACGTGTGTACAGGCTGTATCGCAATACGCGAGAATTGTAATTTCCGCTGATGGATTCGTATAAACTCGTCGTGGCTGACTTTGTTTCGAAGTATTAACGAAATAAAAATAAACATCTCGTGGAATCGAGTAACTAATCAAGATTAAATCACGGAACGTCCATTTCATTTTCTATCTTTCGAAATTACGAAGCACCTTTTGGAAAAAGAATTTAATAAAGCGTTGAAATTCCGAAACGAGGCGAGAGAGAAGGGTAAAATTTCACAGGGGGATGAAACGCGAGTCGAGCGATGCTCGTAATTAAACACTCGGTCCGGATTAAATGTAGCAAAAGGAAAATTGGAAGAAATTTCTCGCAGAAATTGAAATGTAGATTTAAAAGGAAAGCCCGTAGATAAAAAATAAAAGAAAACGGATACGTCGGAGTAAAGCAATTTCGCAGAGAATGCACGGGGGGGGGGTTACTTTTTAGAAGGATTGAACGTGCCACCGGGTGCGAGCAAATTTTTGAAAAATCTCCGACAGAGAAGGGTGTTTTTTACTGAAACAACAAGTACGCCGGGCAACCACCCTCGAATCGCGACAAGAAGTGTCCAATTTAAAATGTAAATTGCGCCGGATATTTGGCATATCGTGGTACGCGTTGCGAAATGGCCGCGAAATTAAAATGTAATTTAATTCGAGCTCCCTCTTCCTTTCCTCTCTTACACCCTCTCCGTCGTCTTCTCCTTCGTCGTCGTTTTACTCGGTTTGCCCTCCTCGTATCGTTGTAAAGCCGTTTTATCCACCATACGTCCTCCTTCTTTATCGATTCTCTCCAGCTTCTCTTTGCAAGTGCATTTCAGAACGGGAATTATCCTTTCCGTCGCACCAACAAATCTTCTTCGATTCAACCTCGAAGGCTATGGGGTACTTGGTACCTCGAGGGAAACTCAGATTTTATATCGCGTGTAAAATTTAGAAAATGAAAATAATGCAAAGTACAAAATTCAATTAAAATTGTGGCTCTCTTCATGGTCCGCCGTTCAAGAGTTAAAATTTTAATGTATTACGAATGAATTGGTAGACCATAAATGACGTTTTATTTTTTAAAAATATAACCTTGTAAATTTTAATCTGTATAAAAATATATTTGTAAATTAAATTGAATAATTCTTGGAAGAAATAAGAAGCAACGGAAACTGTATTCTACAGACACCATAAGCACTCGTGGGCATCGCCATAGCAACGATTTAATTGGAAAAGGATCGCCGTAATAAAATCGTCGAGTGTTTCTTTCTTCTGACCAAAAGCAAGCGTAATTGTTCACAGAAGGGTGCGACGAATTTCGAATTAAGCCTCTTCATCGGTTCCTTCTGTGACTCGAATTTTTTCCTCGCCAGAGTCCGATGCATTTCAACCTGATCCCCTTTCATAATCTCCTTCCTTTCTTTTAATTCAATTTTCAGCCAACCAAAAGCCACTTATTCCACCTATACTTGTCACGGTTATATAAGATGCAAATAAGATGAGATTTACTTGTCAGATTTAGCTTGATACTTTTTCAAAGGATTATTTACTGATAAAATAACTAACGTTATTATTCTAACAATAAAAGTTTTATACAAATTAAAATAATTCTAATTTAATTCTGTACTTCGTCTTTATCTTCCACATTTTACATACTATATAAAAGAACCAATTATCATAAAAGGAAGATGTTAACATAAAGATGCTTCGACGTTTACCCGACCGTAAGAAAGGCGAAGAAATTCCACGGTGAAAAGAAGAATCGAGTAAAACGAGAAGGTCGACAGAGCGAAGAGAAAAGCAGAAAAGAAGAGAAATAGGAACGAAGGAAAAGTATGGAGCAAGAATCACGGGTACGAACGCGTATAACTACGTGTCGTATAAACGGACCCTTGAGAACATAATTCATTGCCGTAAACAGCCGGTACAGCATGCCGTGTCAAATTAAAGGCAAGCCGCAACAACAAGAACCGCCCCTTTTACATTTACCAAGAATGTTCACGGAGAGACAGACAGACACTTAAATGACTCGGTTCCAATTTTTCCATTTCTTTTCATTCCGAATTTCCATTCTCACGCGACGCCCTTTATCCCCTGAATCTGTTTATCGTGTATTCAGAAACGTTTACATTATTCAATCAAATTCTGTATTATTTAATTATTCTAATACAAGAAAATGTCGTTACTTCTAAAACAATTCCACGAATAATCCTTGGAAACTACCTTAAGAAATCCTTGGTAGATAAAGCTCTTAAAAGAAGATTTTCCGGTAAGAAAAGGGCCTGGAAATCCCGCAATTTTCACGTTTGTGGATCGTAAATTAAAGCTACCCTCTTTGTGCCACTCAAAATGCGAAACCGTAGCATATGTTACTCAAGCTCTTAAACGATGTCGGCTTATGTTGCAAGTAGAAAAAAAAAGGGACATTGAAAAGGACTGGAAACACCTTATATTGCGGGGGCATTCGCCAGAAAGGGCACATACGGCGCATACAATTGCAACAGTGAAATTTACGGAGCCTGCTGAAGTGGCAACTGACATTGCTCTTTTATTATTTCATTTTATTTTTTTTTTTTCTCCATGGATTCTATTTTGCCGAAGCTTTGCTTACCACCGCCGTGACATTTATGAATTCTACTCCCCGTGTACCTCGTATCTCGCGTAATACCGTTCATATTTTATACGTAGACGTAGTTCGTGTTGGTATTTTTGTTGATTATGTAATAATTTCCATGAATTATTGTTCAATCCTCGGTCGACCGAAAAGCATTATAGAATCGCTGGAATTTAAGATAAAAAGGGGTTAGAAAAATTTTCAGATTTCATTTTCCTCGAAACAAAGGTGGGTATATATATATTTTTTAATCACGATATCTTCATTGCGGGCAAAGATCACGGAGGTCGCGCAAAAAGGGCGTCCTTTATCGATTCGAAACGATTTTAGAGGGTGGTTTACCCCCGACGTTTTTGATTTCAGCATGCATCCTCGATACGAGTCTCGAGGCAACGCTTCGCCGCTTCGAATTAAGGGGTGAACCGAAAGGAGTACTTCCACCCCTGGGGCTCCGATCTACCGGGCAAAACAGAGAAAAGGGAATAAGAGATGGAATCGCAGAAGAGTAAAAACGAACCACGGAGAATCGAGACTTGGGAAAGGAGAATGGAAGATGCAGAAACGAACGAAGGATAAACGAACTAACAGCCACCGAAACGAAACGAGAAACGAGCTAGCCTTTTCATTTTATTTTATTTTTCACCGCTTCCAGCGTGATTTTACCACCACCTAAGGATGTAATCGCTTTTCTGAAAAAATACTAGGATAATTCTTCGATTAAGAAGAATCCCACTAACTGTGTAATATTCAGATATCATCGTGTTTAAACAATTATTACTCGATATCTCTATTTACTATTGCGTTAAATCTGTTTGCACAAACATTGCCATAATGTACACGAAATGTTTTGCCGTAACATGTTTGAATAAAATATTTGCGTTATTTCATATTGAATCGTCGAATTCTATTCGTTTCATACGTGTAATTATTTATGACACTAAACTCGCATGCTGACCAAACTGTTTTGAATAAAACACATGCAGAGGATGAAAGCGTATAAATGAAAACGCTCGGTTTGTTGAAATACACCAGCCGGGTATAACCCACCCTCCTCTTTGAAATATGGCCCTCTTCTATTCGTTCGATTGTATGTAACACAATCCGGTTTATGGTTTCAAGACAATGTGTAACTTTTTGGAATATCCCGTGTTGTACAGAAATATTTACGGGTTAGAAATATTCTTCGATATTGTAGAATATCCACAACATTTTTTAATTAAAAATTATAACCGGCTGCAACCTCATCCGTGGCAATATAACGAGAGTCTACTCTAGTATCATTTCGCTCTAATATTTTGTCTCGACTTCAACCAAAAAAAAAAAAAAAAGATACACGGACCTTTTTACCCTTTCCATGTTCTGTACTTTACATTTCTAAGCGAAGGTAATAATTAACCCTCGTACGATGAATGCAGTATCTTATGTAGACCTGGGACTCATTTAACACGATTCACGTTTGCACGGTTTTTAAAACGCGTTTTGCTTACTTTTACAGGGCTTTTTAACAGGTTTTTTCAAAACAAGTGTCAAGGGTTAGTTTGCTATATCTATGGAAAAAAGGTAAATTTCAATTGCGGATCACGGTGCGTTCTAAAAAACATACGGTGTAATCGTAGAAGGTTGAAATTCGATTCCGTGCACCACCCAAATTCGTTCTCGCAACGTTTGGGGCTCGTAAGCGGGAATCTGAGAAAAGAAGCTTTTAAAAAAGACTAACCTTTGCATTCGTTGGCATCTCTGGCAGTGGCTCGTGCCCAGGGTCGATCGAAGTGGAACGGCCGACACCTCTCGCAGTCTCTGCCGGCGGTGTTGTGCCTGCATTCGCACGCGACCTCGCCGTCCTTGCCTGGGATGCATCTCGCTGCATGCCCGTTGCATTTACACCTGCCTCCGACCGCGAAGTCCGAAACGGCGTAGTGGTGAGCAAAGGTGCTTGTCCCGGCGCTGGACAAGGTGCTGCTGGTGGATGTGGAGACGGTTACAGCGGCGAAACTCATCTCACCACCGTCCACGGCGTCGTTTGACTGCATTTCTTGAGGCGCGATCACTTGATGTACCGAGGGTAAAGCAGTGGCCAATGGATCCATCGAGCCTCTTAGAAGATTCTTTTGATTCTTAACGCGTTCCTCTCGCTCTCTTTCGCGTTTAGCCAATTCTTCCAGGCCGAGGGGATGATCCCGATCGTCGTCCGTACCCAAGGACGAGACTTGCTCCTGGGAGGGCTGCTGCGGCATATGCAGCCGATTGAAAACGACTCGAACGTCGGTCGCGGTAACCCAATCCTGCAGAACCGGTGAATTGTCAAAGTCCGAAGCCGACGGACGACCCTCCAGGGTGCTGAACGCGATCCTGCCGACGGGGCCGAGGCCATCGCCGCCCGTGTAACGATGGCTGTCGGTGCATCTCGCCTCTTGCTCGTTCGCCTTCGTGATGGTCGCTCGGTTCGGACGACCGTAGACACGGCGACACTGGGACGAATAGAATTGAAACGGCTGCCATGTCTTCCCGTAGTCCATTGACTTGTAAATCGCGATCGAGTCCGGCTTAGCAGCCTTCGGACAGAACTGCAGGCTCACATAGGTCAGTTCGTATTTCTTTCCTAGCGACAAGGTCAAAGTCACGTTGTCCGGCGGCGCGGAGAAACTTTGGGACGTGCCGAGTGGCTCGCTGCGCCAACAGGTTACGTTGTTCGAGTTGTTCAGATCCGTCAAGTAACTCGCCGGAAATCGACGTCTCGGCGTGCTGTCGTCGCAGGTATGGCACTGACCTATTCCCGTGCCACCTCCTGGCTGTTCAGTTACATCACAATATCTCGTAGGACCGCCGGTACCGCAGGTCGACGAGGCCTCGACCGCGGCACCGAACGCCGCGTTCACAAAATCCGGTATACACCGGCGCGGTCTGTCCTCGTCGTAACAAGGATCCGACGGATGCTGCGGACTGGAGAACATCTTCGCGTAGATCTCGCTACCTGCCAATGTGTTACCGTGCTGGGACAACAGAATCACCCCGCAGAGGATTCCGAACATTCGTGCCGGTCGACTCTTCATTTTGTGTTTAGTTCCCTTTATCCTGTAACTTGCTCTCCCTTTCCCCTTTCCTTGGATCACCTACGCACAAACTGTCCTTCTTTCGTGTAGGCAAACAGGGGTAGATGATCCTCTTCCTCTTTGGCGTGTTTCGAAAAAACGCGATAATCGACCCTACGATTTTCTCCTGCTCGGCATGCTCGCGATATCTTAACCTCTCAGAACATCGACACCCGCCACTCTCCCCTCGATTTTTCCTCCGATTAACATCATCGGCGGTCGCGAGTTACGGAAAAGCCGCGAATGGATTTTCAAACTTTTCCCGACCAACCAACCGGCTTCACGTGTGTGCGATCCTCCAGCAGGAGCAACGTGACAATTTCATTCCTGAACGAGTCGAACAATTCGTAGAGAGGTGCACGCGCGTGCGTGCGTACACAGGAAAACGGTTTGAACGCGAGGCGAAACACGAGAAAGACGCGAGCGACGCACGCCGGTTCGAAAAACTAACGACATCAACAATCCACCCCCTACGGCGGCTCACCGCTAACTGAATCACTATTCCCGCACGGTGTGCATCCGAAATCCGAACTGCTCCGAGTCCCCCTCCGCTTCGCTGTTTCCCCCACTCCAACCCATTTCTCGCTTGCCGGAGTTTCCCTCTCTCTCGGACACATTCGCGTCGACTCGACTACTCTCGTCCAACACCAATTCCCCTTCGGCCAATCAGACGACGCCACTGCTCGCGATGACCCCACTATTCGCGTTCCGCCACACTGGATCGAGGATCCAGCAGCCACGCCGCGCTACCGGAAACCAACCGACCGCTGGACCAACAGATGATATTCTCCGCTCTTCTCTTCTTTTCCACTCGAACAGAATCCTTCGCGGGAATTCCGAAATATCTATTTTTTTTTTTTTTCTGTATTAACAAAATGGATGCTGTAGAAACCATTAATAATCGGCAATATTCAATAATTCTTGTAAATAGTATTTTCTAATATATAAAAATAAATAAACGTACGAATCATCATCACCGTGCGAATATTAAAGCGTAGAACGGAAGAATCGTATATTTTTCAAATTACCGATCTGTCAACAAAGGATAAACGGTGTAGCAAAAGCAGAGGATCACATTATAATTTAGATAGCCCGAAATTAAATAAAGAATGCAAGGAATTTAGCGCGGGGATCGTTTTGCCAGCGGTTGTGCCAAAAAGGAGACGAAGGTTCGTTTTCCATCGACTCGATGGGAACACGTCTTTTTGGGCTTTGCTGCGTGTACGGATTATGGAGCGGGTTCCCTGTGGGTCTATCGAACGAATTGACCAGAGATAAAAAAGCAGAACGGGAATGGAAGAGATACGACGTCGAAAAAACAAAGAACAACAGGGCTACTCCACTTGTAAGAGCATTAACCCTTTATATTTCAAATTTTCTATATTCTTGAAAACAAAAAGACGTTTTTCTAAAATTCTAAAAATAAACATCTATTTGATTTTATTAATTTCATTATTATTTTGTCGAACTCTTGTAATCGGACTGTGCGGAGAGAAAGAACAAACGGAACACTTGTCGGCTCTTTGGCATTTTTGATGATCGCTACAAAAACGTCCCCTTTAATTTGTGCAATTGCTGTAAATTGAATGGCCTTTAATTCTTTTTATACGAGTTCGCGACAATACGAAATCACCGTTGAAAGTGATATTTTATTTGAAAATACTGCTTTCGCTACTTCTGCTCAATTGAATTCGATTAACGCGAATTCCCCGGTCGAACATTTGGTACTGGAAACATTCTAAAATATATCGCTTCTGAAATTTATAACAAATCTAAAATATTTTACACTGAAAACGTTCCATCGGCGATAATGTAAATTATAAATTTTGTAAGTTACCTTAGGATCAATGTCAGAGCTGACAAATCGGACAAAAAAAAGAACGTTTCCTCGTAGGATCGTGGCATGAACGATAAGCGGCATTCGTTAATCGAATTAATGTAATCTGAAGGAACAGCTAGGAGAGCACGAGCGGGCGTGATGACGTCCTCGGCTTTAGGCTTTTCGGCTTAGGACTCTTGCTTCGGATTAAAAATTCAGTACCGATCCAAGCCTTCGGAATACCTTTCGTTTAGCCTTTTTTTCCTCTTTCCGGATGTCTTTCAGCAAACTTCCGGCGCGTTAAATGTAGCACTCCGCCACGGTGTCCTCTTTTCTTCCTGTATGCACACACTTCTGCAAGTACCAATTTTATAACATCAAAGAATTTGTAACGTAATAAAACTTCATTTTAAACATGTTTAAAAGTAATACAATTTGACATATTTTTTTATTTTTATTTTATTTCATTAGAGCTTCCTCGTTAATCTCATTTTCATTTCAATCATTATTTATTTATAATATATTAACTCTAGACTCTACGTTGACTTTCAAATTGAAAATAAATAAAATAAAGAAATAAATAGATTTAGAGTGAAACATACCAGCATATACAATATTTCTTTATTTTAACAAAAGTCAAAACACTTTAATCAATTTTATTATTTAAAATATGTAACCTGAAATAAGTAATTTTGATCCCTTTAGTAGTGCTAGTACTAGTAGCTTAAATTATTTTCTTTTTGAAAAGTCTAAAATTCAGAAAATGAGAGTAAAATTGATGATAAAATTAAATTTATATTGTCATTATCTCAGTGATCTACTTTGCAAGGGTTAAGAAAGTTTAGAACTCGTACTGGATTATTATTACTTGGCTTATCTAGACCGTACAAAATTATAACAAGTTGAAAGCTGTTGATAATTTTCAATAATATTATGTAATTGATTAGCATAAAAAAGAATATTAATTATTATTTGTGAGCTAGAAATTATCTCGTTTACCAGATAATCTACACATTACGGAAGGCAGGGGTATACTTACCTTCCGCTGTAATTTGCATAAATTATCTATACCTGTACTTCTAACATTATTAATCGCATTGAAAGTTATACAACCACTGGTTTAATCTTTTTTTTCAAATACTTTTTTTGTTTGGTTTATATTTAACTCTTTGATTCGTACTTATTAAACCAAGTATAATAGTTATTAGAAAAATGTACGGAAAATTAAATTAAGCATCTACACATTTCTTTTCACCTTACACAAATAATTAAAAAAAAAAACAGCTCGCCATTATTATTTGTCCTCTCAGCGTTTACTATTTAATTTATATCGACGATTTGATGTTCGTACAACATCCTCGGTGACGGTAATAAAAATAGTGTCGCGGGTCATTTTGTACAACGTTTTTCTCTTTTTCGTTTTTTAATTCTGGCCCCCAGCCGTCTCAATTTTACCAGCAACAAACAACAAAAATGTTAAATATATACAGAGTGTTTCAAAAATTTGTACATTCGTCTCGTTTGTTTTAGAAAATAATTTTTTCAAATCTGTTAGAATCCTCGAGCGAGTGGCATAATTAAAATAATAAATTAAACGATAACTTAAATATATTTATAAATAAATAGTATGAATAAATTAAAAATAAATAATACAGTAATAGCGGTACAATTTTCCTCGTTAAATATAATTCAATAAGATTCGGTTCTTCAATTTTCTTCTAGGTTAAAGAATAGCTTATAGTGACGCAACTTCCGTCTCCATACGCATGCGCGATATTATGACTGAAAACAGCGGACTAACTCGAGGATTAACAATATTACATACATGATGCTATTGTAAAATAGCAAACTTCAAAATCATAAGACTTCATCCATTAAACAAAACGAAATACGCATTTTAATATAAGATGATTTGAACACGCTTCCAAGTTTGAACGCGCAAACGAAGATTTCCGAAGGGAAGCTTCGGGTCACGTGACAAGGTTCCCGAAGAAGAACATTACGATAGTATGAATAACAATGGCGACGGTCATAAATATTAATGTATGACTTATGAAACACCCTGTATATGTCATAAATACCAATTGTACTCTCTTTCATATGTTAAAATTAACTTGAAATTGTTCTTCATTTTCCATATTTCTGCTTTCACACTAATAAAACCTCAAAAAAAGTATCTTAATCATTTTTAAAAATCCTTTATCGTTCAATGATTATCTAAAACGGCATGCTTTTACAGACATTCTGCACATATCCAAGCATAGGTATCGATAAATAAAATGTAAATAAATAAGAATACTGCAAAGCACCGTAAAATAAAATTGATCGATATTGCTCGGCAGAAAAATTGTCACAGGCATTTTGCATAAGGGCATAAATATTCATTTGTTTTACTGTGTCGAATAATATTTCGTACTGATAAGAAATTTAAATGAAAGTCCATTGGTTGAATCGTTCGTAAACTGGTTCTATTTTGATTAAAGCGAATGCAAAGTCTTTAAGGAGCTTCACAAACACGAATCGTACGCCTATGATTAAGTTTCTGTATTACACGCTCGATGGAAGTTATTTCAGCTACGTAGAATAGAATGAACAGAGGATATGCAACATTTTTTTTTTTTTTTCATTTCTTTTTCTCTGTGCAATGTTCCCACATTAACCATCGTTAAAGTATATTTCTGTTAAATTTGTTTGTTCTGTTTGCGCTACGAGGAGAAGTTGTCGCTTCGATTTATCTTCCGGTTGAAGACGCGAGAAAGCCGTTCTTATTTTATAGAACTACACAAAAATGCGAGTTACATCGATGTCCGCCATAGAGATACATAAGAATAGAATATGTCAACCACGTGCTAGCGAAAGAGAACACTCTATAATGGACCTTATGCCCCTGTCTAACCACGCATGCATACTTACTTGTGATTGATTGATGTTGCCCGCCATATTTTCCAAACTTACGAAGGGAGATACAAAACCACTCACAATTCCCGAAAGTTGTGTTTTGTTAATAAAATATAAATTATACAATTAAAAATATTAATGTGACAGACGCGACGCAGTGCGCTTCATAACGCACGCTACACTTACTGTATTAATGCGCATGCGCGATCAAACAGCAACACAAGGGGCCCATACGCAGTGTTCTCCTATTGTTATATATATCGCTTTTTCAACTTTTATTCTTATATCTCTATGGTATCCGCATAAGTTGCGGCTCGCTTATTGAACAATTTCGATTATCCTGATAAAATGCTTATGTGGTTAAAACGAATATAAAACTATTTGTAAAAGATTTGCGAGAACTGTATCAGACGATGCATTTACGCGCGTCAAATTTGAATCTACCTTGTGGTCGTTTCTTTTCTTTTTGTTCGGACTTATCGAGCACTGCCAATAAAATTAGATATGCAGCTGGACGAACGTCTGTCTTTCTTTTTTCAATATGTGACGCATGAAAATACCTCGTATGTTTCTCATCTACGCACTCACACTAATACGATTCATTACGCGATCCTATCGTTGCGTGGCTAATCGATCGTTACAGATAAAACAATAAATATAAAATATATTAAATCACCCTAAAAAGATTTTGGAAAATGAACAAATTCATTTGGTATTACAGGTTTTTCATCAAACGTATTTTTCTTGTTTTCCACTTTTCTCTATTTTTTGTTCCTTTTTCTTTTTTCCTTTCAACGTCTCGTCATTATTTTCGCATCAAACATGCACACATGTACACACACGCATATACAGACAGACAGACAGACAAACAGGCAGACAGGAACAATCACGAGCGCTTTTCCCTCCCCCCTTATCTATACTACAATTATAATATTTTTTCATTCTATCGGAAATAACTTAGCGTCTATATCCAATATATTAGATATTAAATAATAATTGTTATCATCAATATATTAATTTTAAATAATAT